AGAGCAGCACCACCGGGGATTCTGGGTAATAGAATCCAGGTCTGTTGTGATTCGCCGAAGGTCACGAATATTAATTAACTCGTTACCTCCTTCCTCCCTCGTTAAGAGATCAGTGAAACCCGGTGTGTGTGTGTGTGTGTGTGTGTGTGAGGAACTGATCCTGGTTCTGTTTGTCCCTCAGAACCTCCCGTACCGATCGCCCCTCCTCAACTGACGGCGGTGGGCGCCACCTATCTGTGGATCCAACTCAACGCCAACTCCATCAATGGAGACGGGCCAATCATCGAGAGAGAGGTGAGTATTGATGTATGAGTAGGTTCTAGTGGTTCTAAATTAGGATATCTTCATGTCTGCTGAGGTCTTCCGAGTATGTTAGCAGGTTTGAAGGGTCTTTGATGAACGTCTAGGGTCTCTGGCCTCAGATGAGGTTTCAGGGAGTCTGGAATGAGGCTATTGTTCCTTGAGTTCTTGTGATCCTCCTTAGGTTCTACTGATCTGTAACGAGTCTCAAGTGGTCCGTGGTCATATTCAGGGGATCTCTTAGAGGTTCTTATGGACCTTGAGGAGGTTCTAGGGATCGGTGAGGGGGTTGTTGTTGTCCTTGTTGAGGTTCTAAGGATCTGTAAGGGGGTTCTTGTTGTCCTTGTTGAGGTTCTAAGGATCTGTAAGGGGGTTGTTGTAGTCCTTGTTAAGGTTCTTAGGATCTGTAAGAGGGTTTTTGTGGCGCTTGTTATGGTTTTAAGGATCTGTAAGGGGGTTGTTGTGGTCCTTGTTGAGGTTCTTAGGATCTGTAAGGGTTTTTTTTGTTGTCCTTGTTGAGATTATAAGTATCTGTAAGGGGGTTGTGGTCATTGTTGAGGTTCTTAGGATCTGTAAGGGGGTTGATGTGGTCATTATTATGGTTCTAAGGATCTGTAAGGGGGTTTTGTGGTCCTTGTTGAGGTTCTTAGGATCTGTAAGGGGGTTCTTGTTGTCCTTGAGGTTCTAAGGATCTGTAAGGGGGTTCTTGATGAGTTTCTAAGGATCTGTAAGGTTTTTTGTTGTTGTCCTTGTTGAGATTCTAAGGATCTGTAAGGGGGTTCTTGTTGTCCTTGTTGAGGTTCTAAGGATCTGTAAGGTTTTTTGTTGTCCTTGTTGAGATTCTAAGGATCTGTAAGGGGGTTGTTGTGGTCATTGTTGAGGTTCTTAGGATCTGTAAGGGGGTTGTTGTAGTCATTGTTATGGTTCTAAGGATCTGTAAGAGGGTTTTTGTTGTCGTTGATGAGGTTCTAAGGATCTATAAGGGGGTTTTTGTGGTCCTTGATGAGGTTCTGGGAATCTGTAAGGGGTGGCTGCTTTGTCAAGTTCTGTCAGGTTGTCATGGTCTTCCTTGATGAGACTGAAGGAGTCTGAAATGCAGTTTGGGTTCTCCCTGAAGCTGTTTTAGTGGTTATTTTGTTATATAAATCTTTCATGGGGTTAGTGGGGTGACAGGGTTCTTGTAGTTTTTGGTGAGGCTCTACAGATCTGCAAGGTTTTTTTGTGGTTGTTGATGTGGTTCTAGGGTTCTTGTGGTCATTCAGGCTGTTCTATGGTCTGTGATTAGGTTGACATGGTCTTCAAGGAAGGTCTATGGATATGTGAGAGATTCTAGTAGTTCTTGATGAGTTTCTGGGGGTCTGTAAGTTGGTTCTTGTGGTCCTTGATCAGGTTCTAGGGATCTGTGAGGGGGTTCTTGAGGTTCTAGGGATCTGTGAGGTTTTTGATGAGGTTCTAGGGATCTGTGAGGGGGTTCATGAGGTTCTTGATGAGGTTCTAGGGATCTGTGAGGGGGTTCTTGATGAGGTTTTAGGGATCTGTGAGGGTTTTTTGAGGTTTTTGATGACATTCTAGGGATCTGTGAGGGGGTTCATGAGGTTCTAGGGATCTGTGAGGGGTTTTTTGAGGTTTTTGATGAGGTTCTAGGGATCTGTGAGGGGGTTCATGAGGTTCTTGATGAGGTTTTAGGGATCTGTGAGGGGTTCTTATTGAGGTTCTAGGGATCTGTGAGTGTTCTTGTGGTCAGGACTGCTCTGGATCATCATCCCACATGATCATTTGTCAGGTGGAGTACCGTACCATGTCGGGCATGTTGATCGACACCACCCCCGTCGATAAGCCGACCCACAAGATCGGACACCTGGACCCCGACACGGAGTACGAGATCAGCGTGCTCCTCACCAGGCCCCTGGATGGAGGCACGGGAAACCCCGGACCACCACTCCGAGCCAGGACCAAGTGTGCAGGTGAGTCAGGTCACATGACTGATGACTGCTAGTAGCTAGCGGCTAACTGCTCGGCTACACTCACACTGAGCTCATTAAGAGGTTAATGGTGGTCATTAGCGTAGCATGCTTTGCTAGCCCGCATTAGTGCTGAGCTCATCAGGTGGCTAATGGTTATTGTTGAGGTCATTAAGGCTAGGCTTCGTTAGCGCTGCACTCATTAGCTCTTAATGGCTACAGTGCACACATCAGCATAGCATGCTAGCTGTGTGTGTGTGTGTGTGTGTGTGTGTGTGTGTGTGTGCCCTGTTGCTGCATTCCAACAACAAACAGCATGTGATTAGCAATTAGCGCGCTAATGACACAGGTGCAACAATCTGACTGCTGCAGTTTTCACGTCTCTCTGTTTGAAGAGTTTTTAATGATTAATTATTGATGATTGACGTTTTTTATTTTATTTTATGTATTTTTCTTGACTTCTTTGAGATTCTACTTCTTAAAGTGTGTTCATCTTGTTTTTCACAATGTCCAGATCATCTTTTGAACACTACATGATACAAATAATAACAATAATAACAATATGTTAAAATAACTAAACAAAATCAACACATGTTGACAATTAAGAAAATATTAAACCAAATTACAGTTGGTTTTTTCATAAACTTTTATGTTTCGTATATTATGTTTTATGATTATTATTAATTTTACTATAAATCTTTAAATCTGCCCTTTACTACCACCCATAGTGACGTCAGTATTCAGATAATATAACATGTAATATAATACAATATAATAATCAGAATCAGCTTTATTGGCCGTGTGTGTGAACTCATTCATGGATTTGACTCCGGTTTCCACTTCGCTCTCAATGTACAAACACAAGTTTACAATAAACACGAAAAAAATATATAAAAAATAAAACAAGGGCAATGAAGAAAAGTAGAACAGATGTAGGTATAAACATTTAACAACTATGTACAATATAAGTATAAATATATATCCGAAAAGTATATATATATATGAACATAAACCTATAAACAACAATGACAATGGAACTGAGGTGAGAGTGCAAGTAGTGATAATAGTGCAGACAGAGGTAGTAGTGCAGTATAACTTATTTATTGTTCATGAGAGTGACGGCCAGTGGAAAGAAGCTGTTCCTGTGTCTGGTGGTTCTGGCGTACAGAGCTCTGTAGCGCCTACCAGAGGGGAGGAGTTGAACAGCTTGTGTCCAGGGTGTGAGGGGTCTGCAGTGATGTTTCAGCCCGTTTCCTGACTCTGGAGGTGAACAAGTCCAGGATGGAGGGCAGGCTGGAACCAATGATCCTCTCTGCAGACCTGACAATACGTTGCAGTCTGTTTCTGTCCTGTTTAGTAGCCGATCCAAACCACACAGTGATGGAAGAACAGAGAACAGACTGGATGGTGGTGGAGCAGAACAGGATCAGCAGCTCCTGAGGCAGGTTGAACTTCCTGAGCTGGAGCAGGAAGTACAACCTCTGCTGGGCCTTTTTCCTGATGGTGTTGATGTTGGGAGCCCACTTCAGGTCCTGGGAGATTGTGGATCCTAGAAACCTGAAGGTCTCCACAGCAGACACAGTGTTGTTGAGTATGGTGAGGGGGGGCTCCTCCTGAAGTCCACTGTCATCTCCACAGTTTTGAACCTGTTTAGCTCCAGGTTGTTCTGACCACACCAGAGGACCAGCTGTTCAACCTCCCGTCTGTATGCAGACTCATCACCGTCCCTGATGAGGCCGATGACCGTTGTGTCGTGTGAGAACTTGCAGCATGTAGTGCAGTCCCATGTTGACTGAATCATCCACCGACCTGTTTGCCCGGTAGGCAAACTGCAGGGGGTCCAGCAGGGGTCCTGTGATGTCCTTCAGGTGGGTCAACACCAGTCTCTTAAAGGATTTCATGACCACAGACGTCATTTAATCCTGTGATGGAGGATTTCTTGGGGACCGGGATGATCGTGGAGCGTTTGAAGCAGGAGGGGACTTCACAGAGCTCCAGTGATCGGTTGAAGATCTGTGTGAAGATGGGGGCCAGTTGGTCAGCACAGACTTTCAGGAGGGGGGGGAGACACACCGTCTGGGCCTGGTGCCTTCCTGATCTTCTGTCTGTGGAAGAGCCGACTCACATCCTCGTCAAAGATCCTCAGGGCCGGTGGGGGGTCGGTTGGGAGAGGTGAGGAGGAGGCAGGGGGTGTAGGTGGTTATTTGATGATGGGACAGGTGGGGGGTTGAGGTGGGCTTATCAAACCTGCAGTAAAACACATTCAGGTCGTCAGCCAGTGGTGATTGTCCTCAGTGGGTGGGGGGGGGCTCCTGTAGTTGGTGAGGACTTGCAGGCCTCTCCACACTGACGAGGGGTCGTTGGCTTTTCAGTGTAGCTCCTCTTAGCTACCTGGATCTCCCTCGTCAGTGTGTTCCTGGTTGTATATGAAGGCAAATCACTGTAAAAATCCGAGAGCGCAAATGAGATCCGTGCCGCACGAAAATCAAACAGCCGCGCACGTATTTTACTTTGCGAGTGCTTTTACGTCACTCCGTGAGCAAAATTCACTCTCGCGCGAGCAAAAGTCGCTCGCGAAGCTTAAACCTGCTCGCGAGCAGTTTTTCTTTTTGACAGTAAGTGGGCGGACCCAGTCTCATTGTATCTCTACATCTGATTGGTTACAATCCTCGTCTTGGGATAGACCGGATATCACTCTGACACAGACGCTCGGGGGAGATCTTCACATCGCAGGTCAGGGGCAAATAATGTACATTTTGCTGCACGGGTACTTTTACTTTCTGCACTTAAAGTAGATTTTGCTGATAATAACATTGACTAAGGTTTTGAATGCAGGTATTTTACTCGTAGTGGATTATTGTTTCATCAGTATGGTGTTAGTACGTTTACTGCAGTGAAGGATCTGAATACTTTTTCATCCACTAACTAGTTGTCAGTGATTTAACAGTTAATATACAAACAGTGGTCCCTAATCTTGGCTCCAGATCTTTGAGCAGGTCCACGTTGTTGCTCATATTATATACAACTATATTATATCTCTTCTGTAAACACAACAGTATGATTAAATATGATCACATCATGTTTTAATCAATTAAGATCAAAGAGTTTCTTTGAGCGTTTGTCACAAGAGGTTTGAGTATCAAACACACATTGTCTGTAATAGAATGATGGAGTGAATTTAAACCAATCTGAGCAACTTGACTTTAACACATTTTAATTATTGCATTTAACAACTCTATTAACATAATGTGTATTTCATCAGCCTCTACAGTCTGAAAAGTTAACAAAACCTGTCAAATGTAGAACATGCTGAGATGTAGTGGAGTAGTGTTTAGTGGCCGATTGAAAACCACCTCTATCAGAACTAGCGTCTGCGTCAGAGTGATATCCGGTCGATCCAAAGACGAGGATTGTAACCAATTAGATGTAGAGATACAATGGAGACTGGGTCCGCCCACTTACTGTCAAAAAGACTCAGGTAAAAGACTCGTGAGCGAGCAGGTTAAAGTTTTGCGAGCGACTTTTGCTCGCGCGAGAGGGAGTCTTGCTATAGTGATGTAAAACAGCGATTTGCCTTCATTGTCTTTATGTTTAAAGAGTGGCGTCATTGGCATAAAGACGGAGGGAACAATATCAGATTCATATTATTTATTTACACATTAAAGGGTTTCTGAACATCTATAATAGAAACACATGAGTAAACATGATGTAATCTATAAATATAATGTGAATCTTTGTTCTATGATCATTTCATAATTATTTAACCCTTTTAAATGTGTTATTTTTGTCACTAGTATGAAAAGCTACCAACTGAAACACATAATTCATCCTTTAGGAACTTTATTTATCCGTCTGTCTATTATAATAATATAATATTAGTGAGCTGGAAGCTTTAACACACGAAGAGAAACAAAATATTCACTTTGAGGTTGAATCATTTTGCTTTTTGGAACTTGATATTTCTTAATAATGATATTTCACCATCATGTTCTCATTGAGCTTGTTATAAAATGTTATTTGAACATTTATAATGTAGAAATGTAAAAGTAACAGAACTGAATCATTATGATTACTCTTTATGATTCTGAGGGTGAGGTTTGTTTTTATATTACAGATTTAAATAAATCTTTGTGTCTTCAGAATTAGAGGATAAACAGTGAGAGCGTCCGTGGTGAGTTCAGGGACCGGGGGAGATGTGGATCTCCCGCTGTGCTGCTGTCAGAAGACACAAATCCTCCTCCTTTGGCTTCTATCTCGTCTCTCAGGTTAAACAAAAGGAGCTTTAATCCGACTGCTTTAATCCCCGCTGGGTTTGCAGACGCTGCGTCTGAAGGCGGCGTGATTTAATCCCAGAGGCCACCGGGGCCGATCGCGGCGCCGGGGATCCATTCGATATCGGCTCTAATCCGACCCGGACCGACCGCGAACACAACAGAGGAAGTCCTGCAACTTTCCTCCTTCTGTTGCTGCAGATAATTCTGCTCTGATGTGGATTTGTGCGGAGATTAAAGCCAACAGAGATGTATGCATTTTTTAAATTACTGAAATACAAACATGAAGCATGAAAGTGCAGGAAGGAGAATGTTGTTATATCGTCTTTATGTAGCTGCAGCACGAATCATGTGACACGATTTAAATGATCTATCTAACGAGTGTCAATGAGAGGATTTCTCTTCAATATTTGGAAAGTTTGTCCTCAGAGACAAAGAGCAGAGGGGACATCAACATGTTGCACTTCTATGAGCAAATATATACATATATACACAATATTAATATTAATATCATGTTATTATTATTTATATTATTGTTGTTGATCTATAACAGCCGAGTGTCACTTCTGTAAACACCACAGGAATACACATAAATGTACACTAATATTAGTTTAGGGATTTTAATAGTTATTATTAAACAGTTCAAAGACATATGATTAATTTCATTAGTAATTATTATTATTGGTTTGTTTATTAGAAAATAAGAACTACAGGAGACGATGAGACGCGTCAGACTGGAGTCCGATCTAATCTGACCAATATTTATTTATACGTATAATGTTTATAGATATCATTTATAGATATTTATAAATAGCTGGATATTAAATTCAGTCTTTTTGTAACATCATCCCATACTTTTATATATCAGGGTTATTATTAATATAGATACATGAACCTTCTGGTAGAGTTGTTAACACTTCGACACACACACACACACACACACACACACACACACACACACACACACA